TAATTTAAGTTATCATGGCTGCTATTACGTCTGTGACAATGAACATTAGGTGGAATGGCATTCTCCATATCTTTTAGCTCTTTGTATGGATAAGTTATCGTATATGATCATGGATTCGGTTGAGAATGGTGGGTAGACAAGAATCAAAGCAGGCTGAATGTGTTCGATTATCTCTCATTTGATGTTTACAGACGATCTCCTATTACAGACGATCTCCTTTCCTAAATACGTCCTTAATCATAAGGCACTTGAACTTATATACTAATATAAGAACTTAAGAGACTATTTGAGAGAGCTTACGAAAACATGTTACGACATGTTGATAATTTTGCATGTATTCTTTTACGACCTACTACAGGGTTAGCAACAACTGATATTTCAATTCATGTTTTGGCTGCTTTTGAAGTATCCACAATCTTGATACTCAATAATATATTTTCTCTGATTTGATTAAGGAGTTTGCTTCATTGTGAAAGGCATCCTTTGAAGATTATTATTTGTATTACAGTCTCATTATCATAGTCTTCTACCTAGCGTTTTCATTTTGAGTTGCCTTTGATGATTCTCGCACGATTTTGCAATAGATCTCGCCATCTACGGTTGTTCTTCTCCAATCAATTCTCTTAGAAGATTAAGGTGGTGGAATGGATTTACGACAGAAATGGCATGTATATATTCATTCAGTGCCCCCCAAATTTCGCACTTTCAATGGTATTAATTCAATGCTTAACATTTCACCATTTTGATCTAATTTTAATTTAAGGCGTACAAGACTGATTAATCAAGATTAATGTTCTATTTTTGAATTTCTTTTGATTAAATTTTCAGGCATCCATTTTCCTTGACATCAGGACCACAAGATGAGTACCTCAGTGTGCACATTAGAACTCTTGGTAACTGGAGCTACCAAATATATGCTCTATTCCAAGAGGTAAAGATGACATTTTTTTCTAAAATGCAGAAGTATATACTTTCAAGATTTTGCAGTCTCAAATTTGTTACTGCGATCTTCAGCAGTCAGTGTTGTCTGGGTTACAATGGGGTCCAAAACTCTACATAGACGGCCCTTATGGTTCTGCTTCTCCAGACCATGTAAAGTATGACATTCTGATATTTATTGGTCTTGGCATCACAGCCACACCTTTCATTAGCATCCTTAGAGATGTTACTAATGGTGGACAGACGTCACGGAGTGATCATGTAAACTTATTTTGTTTTTTTACTATTTTTTTCTTATATGTGTCTGTGATAGTGCCTTCCCTAAAATTCAATTGCTCTGCTTGTATTCTATGAAACAAATGACACATCTGAGCATTTAAAAATAGAGTGGTCACAGAGAATGCAGCTTAACAAAGGATTTACCATCACAAACTTATTTATATTAGGTTATAAGAGAACAAAACCCCTTTGATTGGTTTAGTGACGTAATCAAGGAAATTGTAAGTTCAACCAAACAACAGGTATGTATCTATGTATGCATGTTGCAACTTATCATAAAGATGTAATTAAGATCTTCAACTATTTTCTCACCGTTATAAGTTGAGTTTGTATTGGGTTTTTTCTTCTGATTTTGGATGTTTATCATTGTGTTATAAGTAAGGGTGGAAAAACGGGTTGGGCACGTCGGGTTGGTCCATTTGACCCGCCATTTTTGGCGGGCTGGACTGAGGTTTTCGGCTCGGTAGCTTAAGTTGGTCTGTCCCGCTTAAAAAAGCGGGCCGATGCGGGGCGGGGCAGATTTTTCCCGCGGACTTTTTGTTAAAACTTTTACTCTTTTTATTAAGAATTAAAACAACTTTAACTATAAAAATAATACTTATCTCTTAGGATTGTATTGTAAATTGTTATACAAACAAATTGAATTATAATTGTAACGTTCTTTCTATAACTTTCTAATACATGCGCTGATTGAAAATGATTGAAATAAAAGAACAAATGTATGACATGCATAATTATTAAGTTTTCAATATATTAGCTAAGATGTTTTTTTTTTAAATAGATGTTGATTTTAAGAAAATGAAGAATTTGATTAGTGTATACGTGTGACAAATTTAGGATTTAACTATTAAAGAATCGGTCAATATAAGAGTCTATATAATGTAAACAGTGAGAAAGTTCGGTGTTGATATTTTACGCATTACTATTTTATGCACTGTGATGTTTTATGTAATGTTATTGTTATCGTTTTTGGTTTTGTGTAAATTTTAAATTAGGTTCTTTTAGTAGTTAGTTTTTAAATAGGATTAGGATGATATGTATTATTTATTTATTTTGATATTTTTTTATTGTGATTGAGTTTATTTTGTTTTTTGTTGTAATTGGTCTTTATTTATTAAATTTTTTGAATTGTTTGGACTTAAGACATCTTGAAGTTCTATTATGCGTTGTTAAAAAAATTTCTTTATCGACCTCTTTGGTAATAATTAAAAATTTTCTAAATTATGTATTAAATCAAATTGTAAAATAAAAAAAAAATAAAAAATTGATGGACCGGCCCGGCAACCCATCAACTCGTTAGTAAACGGGCGGGCTTGACTTTTGAGCTCGGACCCCTGCGTTGGTCCGTCCCGTCCCGCCTCACTTTTGAACGGACTTAAATGGGACGGATCACCCGCTTTGCCACCCCCTAGTTATAAGGTGAGAAACCTGATTTTTGATGTTCATCATGCCTCTTAGATACCATATTGTTTGAATGGAAAATTGTTATAATATCTATCAATCATCAAGTGTAAATGTCTGAAGTGAAGAACTTTTTTATTATATGTGTCTTCTATCTTGACGCATAGTTATTAATTGAGTAGGGACTTTTAAAGAATTTAGTGATAACATTTGTGATGTGATGCTTCTACTATTATCATGTTAACTTCGGGCCAGAAAGATCGATATATTCACTGACCATTTCTTTTCTTGCATAGGCACAAACTGTCATCCTTGCACTAAACTGTAATGACATGTTCTTGGGAACCCAACCCAACCTATCAGATTCGATATTGTTATCATCGAGGATAGTTTTTATTATATTGGCAATATGAATAAGTTTGATCTTAATTTGATTTTGCTTTTGATTATGTAGGATAAAAAAATAAGATGCGCTAATCAATTTGATCTCCCTTAATTTTAATTTGATCTCCCTCAATTTGATCTCATCCTTTGTCTTACAACTCTGTTATTGAGCTTAGTGCAAATTGAAATCAAAACTCTGGAAGACAAAGGACTACATGAGTTGATGCTTGTAATCTTTTTGGTTATTTACTTGTTGCACTATCTATTTATCTATTAAAAATTTAGTTGACTATGCAACTTTATTTGAATTTTTGCTGCTACATATTTTTATTAAATAACAAATGAATGTAAAAACGTAAAGAATCAATTCATGTATTATTAATATTTCTTTTCTAATATCTCTTTTGTAATTTGTGTAGTTTATTTGGATCCAATTCATCTTTTGAATGAGAGTTCATTTTTACATACATAATATTTGGATATTTGCTTTATATTTTAAGTGTGTAGTTTTATCCTAATAAATTCAAATATATTTTAGTATGTACAATAAATATAATATATATTATAATAAATTTAAAGATTGACAGTACTTACTTGACAAAAAACAATTGACTGTTATAATATATTTTATTAAAAATTGTTTTAATTATTTAATGTCGTTCTTATACTTTATTATTTATTATGGAATGAACTTTTGTAAATGGAAACACATTTTTTATTGATCTAAATAACTTCAAAACAAAAATAATATTTAAATACGGAAATACATATTTAAATATATTTAAAATATATTTAAAAATATAGAAAATTATATTTAAAATTAAAATATAGATACAAATATAATAAACTCTTTTAATTATATAATTTTTATTTTATTTTATTTTATTATTATTACATTTTAGAAACAAATGCACATAAGAAACCATTATCCCTGTATTCCACTAGATTTGATTTATATATTATTGATATAATTATTTTACTAATATATGTTACTAATGTAAATAAGAGAAATATATGTTTTTTTTTATAATTTAATAAAACAAATTTCTAAATAAAAAATAGAATCTTAAATTTTTTTTTTTTTTTTTTAAATGAGTATAATTAATTTAAATATTTTTATAATTAATATTAAAAAAAAGGACAAAATATTCATTTTGTTCCCTTAACTATATATTTGGGTTCATATTGGTCCCTTAACTTTTTTTTGTATCATTTTGGCCCCTTAACTTTCAAAATGTTTCATTTTATTCTTTTTTGTTGACTATATAAGTCTTACATTATTCTTATTCTTTTGCTATTATCAATATATATCATGTATATCAATTATATACTATTTTTCTATCAAGAATAGAAATTGTAATGAATAAAATACTTGTATTTTATTGAAATATGGTAAATTTATAATTGTTGAACAAAGATATACTTTAATTATAACTATTTTTTCTTCATATATGAACTATTTTTAACTCAATGCGAATGTCAGACCGGTACCCGTGCAAACGCACGAATATCATACTAGTTGTAGAATAGTTAATAATGTTAATGATTATAATTATTTTAAGAATCATGCTAAAATGTCTTTAAGGATCTCAAATAATAAAAAAAAAAATTTATAAAAATCAATTATTTTAATTTTTAATATATTAATTATACGCATTCCTAAAAAATCTACTTATTTAAGTATTTTAAAAGTGCCTCAAGAACACTCCTCAAGAGCATTTCCCTTATTTTAAAAATCATTTTAGAATAATTATAATTATTAGCATTATTTATACTAAAGGCATCCTTAACAACACTGCAGAAAACAGAAGTGCCGTTTACATTATAATTTCGTAGAAACGACACTTTGTTGTCGCGTGTATCAAATTCTTATCCATTTTCCCTTTAGCTTCAACACTAAACCAGTTACCAAAAAAAAAACATCCTTCACTTTCAATTCAATTTCAATTTCCATTCAATTTCATCATCGAAACCTTAAAATCCCAATCCAAAAAAAAATGCTTCTTCAAACAAGAAACTTCAGTGCACCATGCCATTTCACACCAAAAACAACAACTAAAATCTCTACTCACCCTTCAAATTCAATCTCATTTCGCTCAACAAAGTGTTCAATCTCAACCCAATTGGAACTCAAAACCGATAACAAGATCACCAAACCATTTCCCGCTGAAGTATCCAGAACCATTATGGATTTAGCTACGGCTGGCACTTTTTCTACTTTGACTCAACAGGGTTGCCCAATTGGTATTGGGGTTCGATTCGCCGTTGATTCGGATAACGGAAACCCTTTTTTCTATTTCAATCATAATTCTATTCCCACTGCTAATCACAAGATTCATGACACCCCTTCTTCACTTCATGTTAAGGTATTTTTCTATTGGATTGTTTGGATCAAATTGGACTAGTTGAATTGAAATGGTTTTTTTTTAATGCATTGTATGTGTTTGTGTTTTTGTTTCTACCAGTTTTTACAGTCGGGATTGCGTACACCTCAGTGTACACTTCAAGGAACTCTTACCAAACCGCAGGATCCAGTTTTGATCAAGGTGAGTGAGTGGATTCAGATTGATGCCAATTGTTTTCAAATTAAGTTCATTGATATGCAATCAATTAGTATTGGTATAATAGGTACATATGCAAGGTTATTTTCAAATTGTGTGATTGTAATGAATCATCCATTTAGTAGCTGAAACTGAAATTGTAGGCGTCGATGAACAATTTGATCTCTTAAGTTAACATAATATAGAACACATTAGTTTGAACCAAGTGGTTTGGCTCAAGTGGTTAATGAACTTTAGATAAAGTCAAATCAATTGGAGTACTGAGTTCGAACCTTGCCTGGAATATTCCTTGGGTTTTGCTGATCTCCTGGTCAAATTGTAGATTACCATAGCTCATTTCCCTTGAAAACCAGAGGGTTAAGACAAATATCGCTTTAGTTCTTCTTGGACAATTGTAGAATAGAGACTAAATTGACTAACTAAGTGTGATTGAGGGTTTTCAACTTTGGAGTCATTTTAGAATTTTGTTAATTTTTAATTATAGAGAATTTCAAAGGCAAAGTTGCTGAATTATTCATTGAAATTATGAAAACATTGTTCGTTATCTTGGCATTATGAAAGAATCACAAAGGTTGTTGAGAAATGTAGCTGGTGTTTGACAAATGTGGTTATGAGGAACTCAAAAACCCTGACCTTGTGACCTCAATTGTAATTGCTTACGTAAATTTATAACCGTCCAAATTTGTGTATTCTGTCTATGTTTGTTTAATCAAACCTTTACTGCCACTCTGCAGCGGCTTGTTTCTTTGTGGAAGAAGAGGTTCGGAGAAGAAGTTGATCAAGATTTTATCCATATTATTGATGTAGATAGGGTGCTGCATTTGGATGACTTCCAGGAGGTTGGGACCCGGCCCTTCACCTTTTTAAATCATATTCTAGCCTATACTACTAGTGTACTAGTACTAAGATTTCTTGCTTTTTAACCTTACACAAGTTGGTTTCTTATATAAGTTGGCTATGTCCCTGTTTTTTCAGGACGGCGTGTGGTTCACCTCTTTAGACTACAAAAATGCTCAACCCGACCCCCTTCGAGAATTTGCTGAGAATTTAGTAGCTGAAATTAACACCAATAATATGGAAGATATTACTCGCTTTTGTAATGTCTATGTTGACTTGGATTTCCAGGTACTTTTCATTTCAGTTTTTTTGGATGGATCTGAAATTGAGATTTTACAGGCTTTGCCCAAGCTAGCCTAGTTTTTGTCTCTTTCATTTCATGCATATTATCAACAACAACAAAACTTTGTTCATTTTTATTTCTTTATTATCCATCGGTTTAACTAGTACACCTGATGCATCTGTGTAGCATTTTCTTTATTCATTCATGTCCTGTTGTGACTGCTAAACAGAATCCAACTTCAAAAAATCATTGGGGATCGATAAGTTAGTTTTCAATGTATTTGATTTCCCATTGTAGGTCTCAGAAGCAAAGATGATATGGGTAGATCGCTTGGGCTTGGATATGCGTTTGTTTTCTCCTAACAACGGTTTATTTGAGGTCCGCATCCCTTTCCCTAGAGAAGTCACCGATGAAAAAGGGGCCAAGTCAACATTTAATTGTATGTCACAATTGGCTTGGGAGGTAGAAAGAAATTTCCATCCTCTGGATTTTGAGAAGGTTACACAATTGAAACACATAAAGTCATGATGCCCGAGTTATAATTTTTTTGCACAACCAATTTACCAGTTTCGTCAAATAAGGTGAAGCTTTGTAATTTTTCAAGAATATGACCATTTTTTATAGTGTTTGTATTACGTGATGATTCATTTGAGGCTTGGTGTTGAGATCAATTTGAAGACTTAGCTTGACTAAGTTTTGCAAGGTTTAGTTTCAGCTTTTGTCTAGTCTGTTGCAAGGTTAATGAGAAGATATTAAACCTGTTGGCCCTTGTGCCTCAAATATTTGATTGAAAAATGATAAATTCTATTTGTAATTAGATTAAGACCAACAATAAAACTCTCTACACCACCATGAACATAAACCCTAAAATAAAATTACCATGTGCAGAGATGGATCCTGAAAATTTAGGATGTGGGGGCTAAATCTATTATCTACTATTATATATATTAGAAGAGAGATCCATATTAGATCGCAACACATCATTACCGTGTGCCACTTAATTCTAATATGAACTCCTTCATTTACCTAAGTTATTTTTCAAAACTATTAAAACAAAGACCCAATTAACCCATCAATCATTTGTGTAATTGCATATTGCTCTTCACATATTGTAGCATCAAATATTGTTTCAAAAACTACTCATGTGCTCTCTTAATTAAAAAAACTATGGATTTTGATACCACACTTATACTTACATTTTATATCGCATATACTGTTCACATATACTGTTTACTGTATTTATAAATATTGGTTTTTAAAATAACAATATTAAATACAAGTACTCTTTTTAAAATTAATAATATTTTAAAAAAATATTTTTAAAATTCATTTTATAACACAAATATAAGTTGGTGTTATTAATCAACTTCACAATTGTATTAACTACAAAAATGTATAATGTATGATATTAATCAATTATTTTATTTATAATTCATTAATCAATTTCACTACTTCATTAATTAATAAAATACATACTATTAATTATATTCTGACACTAATTTTTAAATATATTAACCAACTTTTAGACTCCTTTAACCAACTTTATTTTCCTCTTTAATATTTTTTATGTTTTAGAATTCATTAACCAAATTTTGAATTGTATTAACCACGTAATTGTTCTGGACTGAGCCTACATTTGGGTCAAAGAGCTTACAAGGTCCAATCCAACTGCGCCATATTAGAAAGCATGTTGACGGAGTCTGTCCTCGATTAGGTCAGGCATCAACCTCACTCTTCTAGCCGACATGGTTTTGTCCTATGAGGATAACTCCATGGATAGCGAGGAGGGGTGAAGACGGCCAGGAGGACCTCGCGAGCATCCTCCAATCTTCTCGTCGACCAAGACAAGTCCTCCGGAGACAACCTCGCAGTTGGCGGGGACGGTCCACGATGGACAGAAGGACCTCGTGAGCATCCTCCTCGTAGGACTGACTCTCAACACCTCCGAACATCACTGAGTCCTCTTGGTTTCGAAAAGACTGCATTCATATCTTTCTAATAGTTCTGATCGGAAAATAACAAGTGTACTATTTTTTACAAATGTAGTAATAAGAAGGAGTTAATCCCAAATATCGATCTCGCGGACTGCGTATGAAATATAAGTTATTATAATGACTCAACTGAATAAAAGAACATAAGGGTTTGTTGATTGTGTGAGAGTAATATTAAATGATAGTAAATTAAACAAGGCGAAAAGTAAAGATGTATAATATATGAGAAGGCATGCTAGGGTTAGGTGTGTGAATTGCTTAGTGACAATCTTTCTTCCATGTTTCATGATATATTGTGAAAGTGCATCAATATCAAATCTCAAGAGTTGTTTCCCTTAATTTCTTAACTGAAAACTTTTGATATTCATCCTTAATTCTAATTCCTTACCTATTAACGACGATATCAAACAATTTGAATTGTTTACCAAGACTTTAATGGTTACTATGGTTAAATCCTCATTCCTAAGCGATTTCACCTTCGTATTATTGTGCAAACAACGTTAAGGTGGTTTATCCGACCTAACCTTAACCTTAAGTCAAAAACGATTTATCCGATAGAAAAAGCATTAAACTCATTGCACAATAAATTAAACTCGTAAAAACATCAATATCATAAAAACAACAAAAAATTGGTTCAGAATATTCGCAATTCAGGGACACCCCCTAACATTGGGGTGTTTAGCTACTCATAATATTCATAAAGCTTACAAAACAAAGTGTAAGACATTACAAAGATTTATCGATTCCGTTGATCTTAAATTGCGATTGCTCTTGAAGATCCTTCCTCCTCGAAACCCTTGCCCGCTCTCTTTCTTCTATAATTCTCTCATCTCTATGATCAAAGATGCCAAATGCTTCTCAAAACTAAGTTTTAAATAGTATCAGGTCACAACAAAGCCGTGTGGAAAGTTAAAACTACCCTTAATGAGCTCAACCATTTAAAGTGAATGAAAATATGATTTATCTCGTGTTTGCCAACACGGGCCATGTCAGGCAACACGGGCACTCATGTTGGCCCTCTGTCTTGGTTATCAAAGGTTCTGGTTTACCGATCCGAATTTTCCACCACACTTCCACATCAGAATACTTTTTTACCTGCAAGATTTTTCACACTCTCACCAAATCTCTTGGGGTTAAAGTGTTTTGCACTCTAAATTCAATGTATACAATATCGACTCTTAACTTTGAATGAATTCTACTTTCACTGCACAAATAGATTTTACACACTTTTGGAGGTCTTTGGGTTATAACGGGGCTTAGGTACGGAGGGGAAAACAAAAAAAAAGGATACACAAAGGTTTTTTTTGGCTCGGCCTTCATGTTGTTTCTTTTGTATCTATGCTTCTTTTAGTGCGACGGGATTTCACATGGGCTCTTTAGTCTCACTTAATTGATTGAGTGTTTCAATTAAAACTGTGTCTTTTCGCTTGGGCAAGTGTGTCTCTATGAGTTCTTCTTTTGTTTTTCTTGTTTTTTCTTAGGAGTATTCAAGAGTCTCCATATTTTTTTTCTCTTTTTTTCTCACACACTTGCCCTTTTTTGTATAAGGTTCACCACCCCAAACTTAGAATTTCACAATTCCAAAATCCACAACACTTATGCCGAGCCAGGGTAAGATGATATATATTTTTTCTTTTTGGTCGTGGGTTAACATATGCGGTTAAAACAAACAAGGGATGTAGGATCAAAATGGGTTTACAAAAGATAAACATAATGGAGGGTGGCTGGAAAGGCTCGGGTAAAACAAACAACATGCCTCAGTATGTGCCATCATGCAGTGTTGTGTTAGTAGAACGTATGCAAAATCAGAGTGATAAAGTCATACCTGAATGAACTTTTATGATGATATTGTGTTTGGCTTTTTGTATGCTCACCATGTTGGGTAAGCTTACAGGTTCCAAAGCATTCTGTGTGTAATGCAACTTCTTTTCTAGTTTGATTGTACCCTCCTACAATCTCAGTTTGGTTTCATCAGGTTACGTCCAACATTTTCTCTTTTATCCTTTTTCTTCGGTTGTATCTACTTTCTAGGGTACCTCGTGAGTAAGTCCGGGTTGCATCTTCCATCCACTAGGTACCAATCCATCATTCTTCGACAAATTCTACTCACTCTGCAACACACTACACCACAGAACGGATACTTTGATCGTCTGTTGGGTCCAAATTTTCCCATTCTTGTTAAAGAGTTTTGGATTCATGCTACTTCATCCAACCACCAGGTCACATATTATGTTATAGGGAAGAAGATAGTGATTACAGAAGATTTGATTGGGAAACTCATTGGATACAATGGCGGCGGAGTCAGATGCATTGATATGGCTGATAAGTGTTCTGACCTAAAATCCATTACTAGGGTCATCTTCACTTTTGGACAACCATCCAGTAAGACCAGAGACTTGAAAGATCATTACAGAATTTGGGCAAGAATAATTCTGGGATGTATCAATCACAGGAAGCCTACAAGCTATCCTGATTACATCAATATTGATCAGCATTTTCTGATATACTTCATTGCAAACGAGACCACAATAAACCTTCCACATCTGCTCTTCAACCATCTCAGAACAAGTGTGAAAGAGACAAGAGAAGAAGAGAGAACTAAGAGGGACTGGATTCCTCTAGGAAGATTGATTTCAGATATTCTAACGGAAAATAGGCTGATAGAACATCTGACAGAGGCTCAAGAAATCAGTACTCTGGAAGCAACTGTTGGGAAACCTTTGATGCCAAGAATCTGAAGAAAATGAAGATTATTGAAAACATTAAGAAGGAACCAACAATTGCTTCTCATGAGGTCATCACTTCTAGGAGAATCCCTCTAAAGGATTTTCCACTATTCTCTGAGATAGATGCCTCTCCAGAGATTATAGTCAGATACCTTGAAGCTTGCAAGGCTGATGGGACTATTCCAGAAATCAACATCCAAGATCTGCACAAGCCAGCTCCAGAGGTTGTGCTAAAGAAATCCAGAAAGAGGAAGGCAACAGGAGAAGGATCCTCTTAGAGGACACCCAAAGATGCGAAAAAGAAAGGTAACACATCTTTTGTTTCTGTTGTAGAATCAATAGCTATTCCAACATTTAAAACCATTCCCCCTCAACCAACAGAAAATCCTTCACCCCAAACATTTGAGGATTTTGACATAGAGTTTGACCCATCTGTAACTCTTGGAAATTTCTTAAATGAACCTCACTCCCCCAATCCAAATCCAGAACAACATCAACCAGAACTTGCAAGAGTTCTCTCTGATATTGAACTGTTTGATCAAGACTTTTCCTCACCACTCCCATAAAATCCAAATACTCAATCTCAACAACCAGAAAATCCATAACCACACTCTCCTCAACCAGAACATCAAAACCTCCACTCACCCCAACCAGAAAATGAAAACCCTCTCACTCCTCAATCTGAAAATCCATCTTCTGAAATACCTGAACCAGAAGTTCAACACGCTACCGCAAACCAATCAGAAGACTCCCTTTCAAAATCTAATACCTCTACCCCAATTCTTGGGATAACAGAACCTCTTACGGTTCG